AACATTAGTATTCTGTAAGTCAAGTCTGTGGTCCACTGGTGAATGTAAGCCTAATATTCACTGTCCTTTTTGTTCTGTTCACAAGCAGGAACCTGCCCTCACTAAGTACAAATAGAAGTATAAGGACAAATGGATGAACTATAAGGACACTGAATGCTTGTGTATACTTGGTTGCTTGTGTGCTTGACAGTTCTGGGCAAGCTTATGGAGGTCTGTGCCACTCTTGGACACTGGCAGTAAAGTCAAAGACCAGGCAGCTAAACAATGAGCTGAAATTCACTCTAAAGATTTGCAAAAACAAGGGTGGGATGCAGATTCGGGTGATAATGCTCAGTAGGTTCCTCATTAAGACCAGCCCCTTCGGCACAGTCACGCTGGTTTCACATTATCTAATTACTTAGAGCTTTAAAAGCTTCTCTGGTTGGTTGTATTTAAATTTCCTGTGTGCTTCATATGTGGTTGTGGCCCTAGTAAATGTGCATAAACATACTGTAAAACACTTAGTAAGGATTTTCAGTATTATGGTAAGTAGTAAACAATCTGTTTGCTCTGCTTGTAGGATGTGGCAGCGCTTTAGATACATTCCAGCTGTCCCAGTGTCCAAATGTTCATTCATTCATTTTTATGGGGCCACAACAGAGACAGAAAAGTAGCCTGGATCATGAGAAATTGCTGAACTACATGTAGCACTTAACTGGCTTTAGATTTAAATAGTTTGGTGTTGTACTTGACCGCTTTCTACCCAGAACAATTTACAATTTCACACAGTCTTCACAATGAATCACTGTGAAAATCCCACTGAGGCTAGTGGCCTCATTTTCAAGGGAGCCCCGTGGACTAGCTGATAGATCTAATCCACGCAGCCGGTCACGTGCAGCACTGATCTCAGTGCACATCAAAAAATGAAAAGCAACCCTTGATTGCTCATGTACTGTATGTTCACAGCATGTAGAAATTATCCTGTCTACCTCGAAATGACCAAGATACTTCTTACTGATCCTAATCAACCCTGACCCTGTCCTGAAGTGCACTCCATACTGGAACAGTTTGATGAATTGTAGGTGATTTCTCAGCATCCCTTGTCTCTATCCTGATCCCTATTTTATCAAAACTGACAGCGTTAAGCTAAATTCTGCTGTGAAATTGTGTTAAATGGCAGCAATGTCATTGTTTCTAATCCAATTAAACACAAACAGTATAACCAGAGTCTCTGCTAATGCTGGACAAGGCAAAATCATTACTGTATGTAAAAATACAGCCTGCATCTCAAAAAGGTGTTCCAGTTAACAAGTGTGTCCCACTGGATGTGCTAGAAGATGCAAGATTTTTATTTGCCATTTATGTATGAACAGAGAGTCTAGGAATATAGGAAGTCTTGTGCAGCTCTCTTGGAGTCAGAGCCAGAATAGAACGCGTAGTCTTAAAATAAAGTTATGTAAGGCTGACATAGTATAAAAACAGAATACAAAAAATAAGATAATAGATGAGATGGTGAGCTTCAAATATCGCACATAGTAATAAATGTATCACTCTACTTGACCATCAATTTTCTGATGTCAGGTCGCTTGTCTGCCCACAGAAGTAAATCACAAGCAAAATAGAAAGCTAAACTCAGTATAAAGTATTTTCTGAATGTTTGATTGTTTGGTTTCATTCTATTTATAAGTAATAAATATGTTAAAACAAGCCATTAACGACAACGCGGTCATGTCCTCAGTATCAGTTTTGGGAATTAAGGGATTCAATGATACAAAATTAAAAACATATTGTATTCTACGTGTTTTTAAAATTCTTTTCCTGATGTTTAACAACATCAATGGCATCAGTTCATCAATGCTTGTATGTGTTTAATGAAAGGTAAATTAAAATACCATAGATTTAGTTTCTTTCACAAGAATTTCAAACTGAACAGTGCAGAAAAGGCTTTATAACAATAATTAGACCATAATATAGGGTTGTACCAAAAATTAATAGGGAAATTTGGTGATTTAAAATAATACTTTTACAATATGGTTTGAAATGTATTTCTAAATCACTAGAAGCAAAAAATAAGGCCTAGTTGTTTATGTAAGAAAGTGAAGGTGGATTTTGGGGCACATTGTGAAACGACTGATGCTGATGCTTCTTGACTGGACAGTCTCAACAGAAATACACTTTGTATTGTGCTCAGCTGTGATGGAGTGTGGGATATTAATACATTGCCACTGGTATTATTTGTAGGATCATTTATGAGGATGTAAACACTGTAAACTTGTAGATTCAAGCTGCTGCTGATTGGTTTGTGTATACTTTCAACTGATATATTTCCAACTGACAAGAGTTCTAGAACCTCAAACTGCTCGTGTGATGTGGCGCTTTCTGATTGGTTGAGCCAGCTTGAGCCTCCAAATCAAAGGAGCAGTGGCAGGATTCTGATTGGTTGAGGCAGCTTGAGCCTGAACCTACATAAAGACTCAAAACACTTGCTGTGAATCAGTCTAATTAAAACTTCGCTGGTTACACCATCGTTCCACACATTTACTGTGAACTTGTTTTATTAGCACTTTGATAGTTATTCACTTGGATTCTATCATCCACAGATTCACTGTGAACTTTTTTTTTAGCACTTTGCTAGTTTACTGTCTTTTGAATTGCGATGGACAGAAACAAAATGGTAATGGATTTCACCGAAGGAACCAGAATGATCTACAAACCACTCAGGGTGCTGTTCAACACACCTATATATGAGCACGCAATGCAGATCTGCTGGCATACCAGCTCCTATATAGGGAAGATCACATTGATGGTTCAACTTTTAAAGCTTCAGCAGAAGAAACAGATCCCATCTGAGGTGACTGCTGAAGACATGATCAACCTGCTGGTGGAAAAGAGCAAGAATGCACGTCAAGTGCAACTCTGGGAGTCTGAATTGGAGGGTTATGATGATAAAGAAGCCTTGCCTCTTGTCAGGTTGGTGTGGGACGTGAACACCAGCATGCAGATCAGAGACATTGAGTTTGAAGCCAGAAAGCTGCTCGACTCACCAGCAACCATACCTCCCAGTTTTCAACATCCCAGGTTTCTTAGTGCAGCTCAGAAATATGCTAGGACCCTGAGAAAGCAGCAGCAGAGGTCTCCCAGCTCCAAACCTCTGAGCCTACAGGAGGTGGTGACGGAGGTGGTTCCAAAAGTCCTGCAAGGCTTCTGGGTCCCTCCATCAAGCACCTTCCTTAACATGCCCTCCCAGCAGCTCAGTAAAATGGCAGTCGGAGTCACAAAAGCTGTTCTGGATCGAGTCTCCAGAACTTTGCCCACCCTATCCTGTCAGGTAACCTTCTCCCACTCCATCAGAGACAACATGGTCCTGTCAATTCAGGAAAAGGTGAGGCAGAGGTTCACTCCAAACAATGTGAGGAAGAGCCTGAACTGCTCTGCAGCTGAGGTGTTGAACACCATCACCGATGTAGCTGTGGGGGAGATCTGTGTGTTATTTGAGCCTCACATTGCTGAACCTCATAAAGAAAGCAGCTCCTCCCAGTCAGCAGACGCAGAGGATGGTGCAGAGGCCAAAACCAGTCCTACTGAAGATGGGGCTGACGAGCCTGGTGTGGATAAGGACAATGCACCAATCAGAGGCTCAGCTGTCATTACTCCTCCACCAGCTCTTGTGATGGACAGAAACAAAATTGTGATGGATTTCACTGAAGGAAATGGATTCATCTACAAACCAATCTGGGTGCTGTTCAACACACCATCAGAGACAACATGGTCCAGTCAATTCAGGAAAAGGTGAGGCAGAGGTTCACTCCAGACAATGTGAGGAAAAGGCTAAACTGCTCTGCAGCTGAGGTGTTGAACACCATCACCAATGTAGCTGTGGGGGAGATCTGTGTGTTATTTGAGCCTCACATTGCTGAACCTCATAAAGAAAGCAGCTGCTCCCAGCCAGCAGACACAGACGGGTGCAGAGGCCAAAACCAGTCCTGCTGTAGATGGGGCTGACGAGCCTGGTGTGGATGAGGACAATGCACCGATCATAGGCTCACCTGTCATTACTCCTCCATCACCTCTTGTAACCCTTAGTGCTGAACCTGCTGCTAAATTCAGCTTGGATGAGCCAGCACTGCCACCTACACCCAGCCCAGAACCAGATTCTGCTGTGGTGTCATCTCCTCCACCTCCTCTGACCCCTCTGGACAGTGATATGAATGAGGAGTCCAGCAGAGAACCAGACTCAGAGGAAGTTTCTCCTCCACCACGTCCTCTGACCCCTCCAGCTGAGCAAGTGCTCACTGCTTCAGTCCTGGAAGGTGAGGCCATGAGTGAACAGCCTGGGGTAAAAACAGCTGTTCCGGTTTTCCCTGATGTGGAGCAGAAGGACCCAAGTCTCAGCCAGGGTGAGGGCCAAATGGCAAAGAGCCGATTTCGATGTTTCTGCACTCAGTTGAGAAAAACTCTCTTCTGGTGGTTTCTGCCTAAAGAAACAAACTGAGACTATTCCTACATTTGAATGTTCCTCTGTTTACTGTGCTTTACTACATTCCTGTTCAAAATAAAAACAAAACAATGTATCATTGTATTCTAGTTTACTGTGAATTAATGAATGTTAAGGCAAAAAGTTGAAGTTAGAGTCACTCTTTTGCACAAATAGTGGTTTGTATAAACATGTGAACCGTAATCTATCTCAATATTGCAGAGACAAGTATTTTTGGAACTTTGTTTTTCATCAAAGCATTTACAAACAAACAAAAATAACATAATATTAACATATAATGCAAATTAGGGAAAAAGGTTATTCTCTGTATCCCTTTTAGAGGCAGAGAAATAGGGTGTGAAATAAGGTTTTTGCTGCATCAAATATAAATAAGTAAATAAAAGGCTTACTGCCTTGCATTTGTGTGCCTTCCGTGACCAGTTATGTTGCATTTCACATACTACATCCCTGACCTGGTTTGTGTAAAACGTGGTGAAGACGTTGAAGGAATTTATTAAAATATATTAAGTGTATTTTTTGGGAGCATGGAAGTTATCACTATACTGCTGTGTGATACTCTAGAGAATTATTTCCAGTAAGAAACATGCTGTCTTCACTTAGCCTGTTGCTACAGAGGAATGATAAAGAGCCCTGTCACATTGTCCTTGAGTCCAAGTCGACGTTTCTGCCACATATAAAGAAGCACCTTCAAGGCCTTCCTGTGATATCACATTCACAAGAATGGAATGGATGTGAGCCACCTTGACCTTTGACCTCTAGAATCAGTTGTGCTGCAACCCTCGAGCACAAGCAGTGTAGGTAATGAATGGATGGGATGGATGGTAGGCTGGTAAGATAGTGTTGTATTTGCATCCACTCTCCTTTACTTCATCCACTGTTTCACCCGTACAGACGACAGAACCACTGAATCAACCAGTGTAACTATATACATCTTTACTGGTAACAAGGCTAATCAGTAATAGGGTTTTAATCATACATTTTAGAAAGTCTGCAGAATCTTTTTTCAACAATCTGGAATGACAATGTGTAGCTTTCAAGTTTTTCAACACGATCACAGGTTTTAGTCTGCATTCGTCATTATACTATGGACTTAAGACAAATGTACAAGGCCATTTTACTCTGGTCCCAGCACTGAGGCAGGATTACTGCTCACCTGATGTTTAGATCTGTGTTTGTTTCTGTGCCCTATTTCAGAAAAGTGGACCCCATTGTCTGTTTTGATAGCATACTGTTATTGACAAACAAGCAAGCAAACTAAATAAGCAAAAAACAAACATGAACACATTCTGATCACCATTACTGTTGTAGCACTGGGGTAAACTGTTAGGTCCGCTCAGCGCGACCTGCCTCTCTTCTGCCTTTCTCTCTCCTGCTCGCTCTTTTTGCAGGATCAGCGCCTTAGCTGTATTGCTTTTTGTAATTAGTGACTTGTGGGTTGTCGCGCACAGCTGGGGCGCATTACTGTAATCACCCTCCTACCTTATTTATACCTCTGGCGGATGCTCCGCCGAAGCATTAACTAACAGTACCAAACTTACCTTACCTAACGTGCCCCGTAACAGCCGTTTATTCATGGTATGTATCAGACATATTTTGTTTTCCACGCTGGCAGTTCCTGTGCTGTGGGCCTCTTTGCTTGTTTTTTGTCCATGAGGTTAGCTAGACGCTACTTGTTTTATCCAAGCTGACAGTTCCTGTGCTGTGGAAAACCTTTTTGTTTGCCTGTCCTCATGGTTAGCCTGTCTATTCACCTGTCCATCCTCATCCTCCTGCTCACCTTAGTCTTGCCGTTAGTTTATCTTTGTACCTGTTTGTCCTGTTCTCCTCAGCCGTCTTTGCCCGGCCCTGGTGGTATGTATTCATTGACTGTTCCTTTTGTGTGTGTGTTCCCTACCATTAAACCTCCTGGTTTTTTTTTACTAGCACCTGGGTCAGCTATCTTGAGTCCTGCCTCAGTTCTTCCTCACCCTCCTGGTGAGGGGGACTAACCATAACATAAACAGCTGATCCTGGTGCTGTGTGGCATGTAACTAACTGTAAATAGTAGTGGATGTTTGTCAGACTATTGTAGAAGAAAGTTTCATGTCGGTCCAGCTGTCCTTTATATCGAACATTACAGTTCACTCTGTGTTTACATTCTTTGTGGGGACTTTACATTGACTTACATTCATTTCCTATAGACTTATCCTAACCTTAACCATAGTCACTGCTTGCCTAACTGTTACTTAACCTCACCAAGACATTGCTTTAAAGTATAATATTATATGTTTGGGGGACTTTTTTCTCCCGATAAGAACACTGAGAAAATAGTTCAGGCATCTACTGTATTTGAGAATTTATATTTTGCTTACAAAGCAATAAAAATAGTGTTGAAGGAGAGTGGCTCCTTCATTATGCAGTCTGTTAAATAGCCCCCCTGGCATCTAAAAGCCTGGCTGAAGCTACAAGTCACTGACACTATGGAGGAGTGTGATAAAACAGCGTGTGTGAGTGGGTCATTAAAGTCCCTGCTCCATCCTGCATAGGCGGTGCAGAGGATGAACTTCACTCAAACACCTGCAGGTCCCCTCTTGGCTAAAATACAAATACTTTTATCAGAAGGGCTTAGACATAATTATAGCACAATTTAAGGCATGGTTGACGGAGAGGTCCATCGTTGGCTTGGTAAGCAGGCACACAAATATGCTCCTAATTTTGATAAAACTTGTGTTAAAAGGCCCCTGCATCATTAAAACAACATAATACATAATTATCCAGTCTGTTGGCAAAGTCAGTCCAAAGGTGTCCACAACACATGCGGACAAACAGCCAGTAGAAAACATAGACTCATCGACCCTACATTTAGTTAGCCTGGAGCTGCTGATATCTAGGAATGTGTCAGCCCCCAGCAGGTGGTGTTCAGGTAGTCAGGGAGCAACAGGGTTATTGCTTCTGGGATAAATAGCCAGATAAGATTCATCTTAAGCTTCCTCACTCTCTTCTCTACAGTAGAGCCAGGCTGCAGCTGTCAGTCATTCAAGGGCCCACGAGGGAGTCATCAGTGTTGTTACAGTAGAATTAAGTCAGGAGGAATGATTAACCTGCAGAAGACGGCAATGCTCCTTCAGGACAAATAACAAGTGTGATTGTGCTGAATTCTGAGGACGAAGGATGACTGATGTGAGGGGCAAAAACAGGATCAGTGTAAATATTTTTCAAAATCTCAGATTCCTTAGATAGTTAATATAATGAATGAGCTGTTTTAATGTGTATTATACAATGTATTACAATACTAATATTTTTTCAAAGTGCAAATATTTGTTTTCTTTTTAAAGTACCAGCTTAGATTTAAAAATGATTTCACTCCACCAAGAAATCTGCAAAATAACTAGACTGATGCTGCCATGCTAACTCATTGCTGTCTTTTTTATAGGACTGAAAACTAAGAGGTCCCAGGTAAAATGTCAGCATTTTTACCAACTGTCAAACATGTAGAAGGCATGGAAATAAATATTCTTTAAAAACTGTGTTTGTTACAGTGTAGGGGTAGTTGGTCCTAACATAAAAGTATTATAAGAGAAAATGTAATATCAGTTAATGCACAGTAGTTCCAATGTAATGCTGTTCATATATTAACTATAGAAATAAAATAAGGGTTTAATTGATGCTTTGTTTGTATATACAGTACTGTACACAAGAAAAGGTTTAATTGTGAGGATTGACCTAATCTCTGATAAATTTACCAAATCCAGAAAAAAATCAAGCCAGAGCTGCAAATGCTACCCTACACTCACATAACCTCCAATAACACAAACATTAGAAATAATGCTCAGCTTCAGCAGGTAGTAGCCAGACATGTTAACGTCACCCAAGTACATTAAAGCAGATAAAACACATTATTTAGTCTGTTTCTTAATTTTGCTGGTTTTTTTGGTTTAAGGAAGGTGATATAAAAATGTAAAACTCTTTAGGCTTGTACAGCACTCTAATGTGAATAAAGTTTGCACAATATGCTTTTGTTAAGCTATGACTAAATAAATACTGTAGATTATCAGACTGCATCACAGCCATCAAATCAGAAAAGAAAGTTGTTCAATTTTCTGAAAACAAAGACTTGTGATTTGGTTGTGATCATCTGATGTTTATCTGTGTAATGAATGTTCTGAATTGTTAGAACAGGGAAAAGAATGTGACTGATCAAGCTACAAAATATCAGATCATAACATGATTTCAATTGTTTTCAGTTTTCTTGCTCAGCATGTTTAATGAGCTTTGATAATTTTTTGGTGTTCAGGCTCTGCACAGGAGGGCTGTTGGCTTTTCTATTAATTACCTAATATTTAATGTATTCCTTCCAGAGCTGCTGCACTTTGTCAGTTAGTAGCACGTCAGTTACGTACAGTACAGTCTATTATGAAGCGGAGCAGAGGCCGAGGCTGACAAGTATTCATCTAATCAGCGCAGATGTTTCTCTGAGTGGTTCTGCTCCCCATCAAAATGGCCTAATTTCTCCATTTGCCCAGTCAAGCCTCACTCAAGTTCCAGTGTTTCTGCTGTGCCAGCATTGGGGCCAAAGAACAGCAGTGTCTGTCAGTTTGTCCTCTAGAAGCCCAACATGTTGGTACAGAGCAAGATAGCTCAAACCAATAGTGGCCATTTCTGTAAGGTTTTGGGTTCATGGTCCCTTGAGGGTGACTCACAATGATGGCCCCGCGATCTTCCAGGTAGCGCCACCATTAGGCCAGAATTTTCCCATGTGCTATCAGTGTTTTAATAACATGATATAAGATACATCACTTTTTTTCAACTGTGCTGCACCAATTACAAAAGTACAGACAATCCACAAATATCTGTCATGAAATAAAATAAGTAGTTCTACCTTCAGTAAAAGATTCACTGCTTCTGCTTTTCTCCATTCTCACATCATCCTCAACAAAATGTCTCTGTATCGCCCTCTAACCAGCATGGCCTGGGGGTCTTTCACCTGCTGCATGGCTGCCTCTGTCACCACCCTCAACTCCTACACCAAGACGGTAATTGAGTTCAGACACAAACGGAAGCTGTTCGAGCAGGGCCTACGAGAGGAGCAAAACTACCTCGACAAGGAGGCTTTCCACTATTTCCAGGATCATTCCCTCCAGTCCATCTCCAGCACTGTGGAAGTCTACCCTGGCCAAAGTGGAACCAGATCTGGGCTTATTGTTGGGGGCCCAGGTACTGGTCCGGGTCCAGGTCCTGGGCCGGGCAGGGGCAAGATGAGAGCAACATCAGCCTCCTTAGACCTTGGAGAGAATACAGACTCTCTAGGGGAGGAGCAATGTTGATTCACCCATAGGAATGGGTGGGTCATGTGGTATGAGGCTTGATGAAATGAGGAGGCTGACTGCACTTTTAGGTTTAGGCCTGGCCACTGGCAGCCATCTTTAGTTTCTGTTTGAAGAAAATGATTACAGACTTGATGAAAAGAAATGTGGACGAGGCAAATAAATAAAATTCAATGGCTGTGTTGTGAAAATCATTATAAAAAGTGAAAAACAGACAGATCTCTCACTTTGAGTTCTGTGAGTCTGTTGATGGAAATTAGGTATTCTTCAGCATATTCAAGGTGCTGTGTGTAGTATTTTACCACCAATACTAAATCTCAATTTTGAGACATTAGAGCCTATGCATGTAGGTTTTGCTCAATAGCTGTTGTGGCCTGAAGAGGCAATTAAAAGTTAATGAATGAATGCTAAACAACAGCATAACAGTTGCCCAAGTCATGAACAGTTAGTGATTTGACTCAGTAACATCAGTTATACAGCAATATCTACAATACATTATGTTGGCCACTGACTATACCACACTGCACAATAAAGCTGTAGTGGCAAAACCCTTGTGTGTGTTGAATTGACAGGGTGTATTCATTCACATAATACAGACACAGTCAAATGTTTTTGTTTATGCATCGGATCGGACAGCTTCTTCCAGAATCCGCTCCTCATTTTGTCATACAGACATGTAAAGTTTAAGGTTCTAGTTATACTTTTCTAGTTTATAATCATAAACTGGAGGAAAACATGAACAGATAACCTCTGTGTTATCACATCAAGGTCTCTGAACTAACATCTATTTTGCATATAAGCTGAGGTGAAACAACACATGATAGACACATCTTTCTTTGCAAAATTAAATGAAGTAAACAAACAAACAGGAGAAGCCAGTCAAGAGAAAAATATGGGAGCTACAGTACAACACGTTACGCACACTAAACAACTTTAAGGGAACGGTAGATGTTTTGTATCCTGTCAAAGTAGTCATTGTTATCGTTGTTAAAATCATTTGTCTTTCTGAAAGAAAAAAACATTCCTGTGGTTTATTTGTTATTTATAAGATAAATGAACAATCTACTATAGGACATGAAATGTATGTGATTTCACTTTGTGAGTATAGCTCACATGGAAATGTACCAGTACAGCAGTGCGGGTACTTGAGTCTTTAGTTCATGTTAGTGATACATACGTGCACAGTCTTCCAATGTTCCTCTGGTACTTCAGACTGATTCCATGGTAGAGGAAGGAGGAAGAACCACCATCTGCCTGGGGACAGGAAGTTAATATTATTATTATTGTCTGCTAAAGAGAAAATACTACACAGAAGTTTTAAACATGCTAATGCTAAATGCTAATAAGCCTCTGGTAGCAGAAAGGTCTCATTAGCATTTTGTACTTCCAGGTGGAATTTGCATAGAGACCATTTTACACTAATCTTAACACTGGGGTTTTTCTTTCACAATTACAGCACACTGGGCCTCAGGCAAAAAACACTTATCAACAGACATGCTGAACATCATACATCATCACACAGTCTGACTCCTGTATTCCACAGTTTGATATAACAGCCATACTATTTTAATCAGGAATTAAACAGGAACATGTTTAACTGATGTCAGTTGAGTTCTGAAAGGGGGACGTGAAGCTCCACGATATGACATTTTTATTTTTGATAAGAAAACCTGCACACAAATGGAACATACAAAAAAGTAAGAGAACTTTAGTACAAAAATACAAAAATATTTTTGAATGAGGCCTATTGTCTATTTTAGACAATAGGCCTCATTTAGACTTCAAAGTTATGTCTGGATTTACTGGAAGACAATCTGTTTATATGGGGGGTTTGGGCAAATATTTAAAAACCAAGAAGCTGTAAAAAAAATAAAAAATAAATCAAGCACAAAGTGAATAATGAAACTATGATTTCACTGGACTGGGTGGGTAGAACCACTTGAGAGACAGCCCCATCCCCCAAAGATCACAGGGTCAATCCTCTCAGGAAGTTAATGTGCTCCACAGTCACATTGTCCTCGGAGAGTTGCTGAACCTCTGGCTGCTGCAGAGAGCTATTAACCTTTGACCTTTCTGGAAATTAACTGCTTTAATGTACTTTATATGGGTCTCATGGGGAGATTTCCAGATTTTAAAAAGAAAAAGCCAATACTGAGCAGCTGAAACCCAGGGGTCACAGCTGAAAGTACACCACAGTGTTGCTTCAGTCCACTTTGAATTGTGAAAAGAAATCATTTGGGTGTGTCTTTAGTGCAAAAGGTAGTGAATCACTGACCTAAAGTAAAATGGATTTAGTGACATGAGGAGAACCGAGAGAATAAACTATAACAGTAAAGTTACCGGCTGTAAAACCCCAACAGTGAGCTAAAACACACCGATGTATAATCACTGAAAACATTCATTTGTTATACATCCACTTTATAAAGTTCATGTTTTCAAAATAACTGAAAGAACTGTAGTGCTTACATCTAGTGACGCTTCATGGCATATCATGAATACTGGACATTTCAATCTATTTCATGCATTTATAAAAAGTAATGCCATCAGAAATATACTCATGTTAATCACAAATGAGACAGGTCTGCTGCTCCCAAAGGGCACTACAGTTTCTCCTGGATGCTTACAGTGTACTATACTCAGCCTGCATATTATGTAAGGCCTAGGGAATTGCAAACAGCAGGGATTAAATTGGCTGGGAGTCGCAATAGTAAGGGTGGTTTTGGGGTCAACATAATCTGAACAAATGTTTCAAATCCTCATGCTGCCTGGCTGTAAACTGATGGTTTGTGGTGGGTCATGAATCCTCTGCATGCTGATGTAAATATGCTGGTGACAACTGGAAAATCTCTTCTTTTTTAAAGTGTATACTTATATATATTTATCTATGTGTTATATGTCCTGTTTCTTGCCGTGTTTCTGACTGGATTTGTCTCAGCTACTCCAGCACATCAAGTACATTACAGATACTGAAATTGATTATCAGCCATGAAAATCAACTCTAATCTAATCTTTGCTCCCTCTGTGCTTCCTGTGTCCTCCAGGACATAAACAACACTTACTGCCTTGATACTGCAACTAAAACGTATTCTGTGTTACTGTATCAACTGAGTATTCTATCAATTAACTAATTTATTATTTACCAGCCAAGCAAAGCAGGTGACTATGCTGGGGCTGTTCAGAAATCCTAGGTTTACTGTGTAGCCAGTGGTCTGTGGTAATCTGTGTAGGAATATGTATTATTTAAGAACAATATTAACAAACAATGGCATAATCAGTATGAACATTTCTGTACAGCTTTTGAAATTAGACTGAGGGACATACAGAAGATATACTTCAATTTTTTGTAGTTAAAAATAACATTGTTTCTGATTTGAGAATGAATTAAATAGTATGAGGGCACAACATTTTATTGGATGAAATCATAATCTGTAAACATGACTTATAAAAACAAATTAACACTTATCTGAACTTTTCTGATTTGTAGACATGTCTAAGTGTGAATCAAGCACCTTGCTGACGTGGAGTTATAGATTCTCTT